GGCGGCAGCCCCCACTGCCAGACGGCTGCAGTGGCTAGAGGGTGCAGGGAACTCTCAGGGCTGCTTCAGCAGTCCAGCTGGCACAAGGGGTAGTGTCCTTAGGTACCAATTGGCTGGGCCCCAGAAGCTCCTGACAGTGCGTAGCCCTGAGCTACTTGCCAGGGCAGCTTTTTGTACTGATGGGGCCAGGACAGGGCATCTTTTTATACTGCAGGGGACAGCCCAGGTGCTGGCCCTGGGCTCTAGCTCTCCCTGGCTGCAGATCCAGGAAGAGCCAGGCAGGGTTATTTTGCTCCAAGTGGCACAATTTGCCCCACACCAAAGTGCCTGTCCAGTCATGTGCACTGAGGCTAAAGGCCCCAGCTCAAATTCGCACCACTTCTATTTGAGCTGCTGCAAGTGCATGTGCTTGCATGTGTGGACGTGCCCTACTACTGTTAAACATGTGCTTCTGTATTCACTCAAGTATATATCCTGTCCTGAATTATGGGTATTTTTTTGTAAACAAAATACTTTGATCTAAAGTTGGTGGGAGTTCTTAACTTCATACATTTATTGTTGTGAAATTCTCTAAGACATGACAATGCAGAAAAAATAAAGCCAGGAAGCACAGAACATGACACTGAGCATTCTTTATCACACTTATAGTTTCATAGTAGCTACGGTCAGGAGGACCTGAACAGATCATCTAGCCTGACCCCCTCCACAGGTAGGAATGAATGCTAGGTTCACAAGACCCCAGACAGGTGATCATCCAACCTCCTCTTGAATTTGCCCAAGGTAGGGGTGAGGACCACTTCCCTGGGAAGTTGGTTCCAGATTTTGGCCACCCTAACTGTAAAATATTGCCTTCTGATCACTAACCTAAACCTATCCTCCATCAGCTTATTACCATTGTTCCTCATCACCCCAGGTGGTGCGGTGGAGAAGAGGGCTCTACCTATTTGCTGTTGATCTCTCCTGATGAGTTTGTAGGCATATCTTTAACCATGTGCATATTTTCAAAAAAAATTCAAGGATTTTAGTGCTTCAGGAAAATTAGCTAGTCAGGTTAAGGGTCTGTTTACTGAGTTCACTGGTCCTATCACTTATTAAATAAGAGTTCATTTCCACAATGTATTACTTTCCAAATATTAAATTATCTATTGTAGATTTAGTTGTTTTCCAAAACAGCCAAAATCTGGACTTGCTTAGGTCGACTGCAAAAGCCCTGGAGTAAAGACAAGCTCCTATGTTTTTTCATTCATAATTAATACAACGTATACAAAATTGTAGATAACAACATTTTAGGAATGAATGCAATGAATGCAAATTGCATTTGTAATTCGGTGAGTACAGAACTATAAATAAGAGATTTTGCCATCCCTGTGTTGGTTTTGTATGCTTCTAAATTACACAACTCAAACAGATTCACACGTACCTTTGTGAATCTGGCCCTAAAATATTAAATGAGTAAGATTGTCAGAATTAAATTAATTATGGAAAATAAAGAGTAGCTGTGCCCAGTCTTGATCGGACAATGCAGGGCAGTATCTGAGAGTAAGGATTCTCATCTCCTTTCTCCTCCTCTTACTTGTCCACCTAAGAACTACCTGGCTTGCAGCTCCAGACAAGCAGGAGCTGGACATCTGAAGTGATTCTTCTCTTCAACTTGGTACAAGTGTAAATAAAGACAAGCAGTGATAATACTTCGCCCCTGTGCTGTCCAACAGACTTGTTTGTTTGCATGGTTTGAAGCACTCCTTGTGCCTTTGAAATCCTCCAAACAATGAAGCTGCAAACATTTCTGGCAGAACAATCACTTTAAAAAATGACTCTCAAAAAAAAAAAAAAAAAAAAAAAAGAAAGAAACATCTTTGGAGTGCTTCATTTTGAAGTGCTTCATGAAATGTCTGTACCCTCCAGTGGTCCTCTAGCATCCCACAGTGCTTTGTTCCCCATCCCTACTGCTTCTCGTCTCCCCTGGGCTGCAGAGTACCACTGCTATGTGCCTTCTTAGCCATTTTGAAGTGCTCCAGATAGGGGCCTGGGGGAAAGAAGAGGCAGGCAGAGGGTTGGAGTGCACAGCCTTTACAGGCCAGCATGTGTTGAAGCATGTCAAATTTGTAGTTCTGGGATTTGGAGCACTTCAAATGCATGTCTATCCATACCCTATGTTTACAAGGCATGCATACTTTATGTTTACAAGACTTAAAGGGATGTGCAGCAAGGAGAGGAAAAAAAAAAAAATCAATTGCAGTGGTAGAGTTCTGAGGAAAATGGTTCCTTCTTGAGATATATTTCATGTTGCTGTCCTTAGGGATATTGTACCTATGCACTGCTGCTTACTTCAGACCCTATACCAGAGTTTGGTTAGGTATGACTTAATAAATTCATGTTCTCTATTGCCTGTCACCTTGTTATACTCTAGTTGCTTGAAATGTTTGAAAATATTTCAGTATCTTTCCAGGTATGAAAATGGGATAGATTGGTTTGTATTTCTCGGTGTCCTAATTTTTCTTTTTTGATCTTGTGGGATATGTATATATCTATGATCTCCATGGGCACGTCCAGATGAGCCTGCATGTGCTTCTTGCAGTGTCTCAAACTCCCTTGAGATGCTGCAAGAGGCATGTGTGGGAACAAAAAAAAAGTTTCCACCACTGCAAATTTGCAGTGGGGGAGCAAAATTAGACCCCTGGATATCCAGGGGTCAAAGAATACCCTGGGGGGGGGGGGGGGGGGGGGGGGAGAGCTGTCCCAGACCATGCCCTGAAGCAACCGGAAGCTTGGTCCTCCACAGAGATGCTCTGGCAACCTGCCAGAGCAGCTCTGTGGTTGGCCCTTTCCCTGTTCCTGAAGGGCATATGCTTGCATGTGTGGATGTGCCCCGTGTGTTTTCAAGGATAAAAACTTAAGACTGCAATTATTTCAGCCATTTGCTTGCATATTCTAGGTTGAGTTTCATTAAGCCCTGCTGGTTTGAAAACATCTAATGATCCAAGTAACTTCTAACTTGTAAGTAAACCGAGTAATCTTTAACTTGTTCTTTCTCTACACTAGGGTATCTGCCCCCGTGTCCTCACTGCTAATAGTGATTGTCACCTGATAGTTGACCTTTTTATGAAGACTGGAATAAGGAAGGAGTCACGGCGCAGGGTCCTACAGGATGGCCGTGATCTCCCCAAGGCCCCCTTACCGTGCCAAGTCAGCCCACTGGGCACCCTCGATCCTTTCCTGCCATGTCTTTGATGACAAAATATATATTTGGGAGGCTGCCTTTTACGCCCTCTTGGTCACGTTTTGGTGGACACTCGGACCCCATGGGATTCCTGGACCCCTTGCGGGTCCTGCTCTGCAATGGGTGCTTCAGGGGCACCCTAGCCTTATGGGCTATGCGTGGCTCCAACCACCCCTTTACCACGCCCCAAGCCTTGCAGATGTAACTGATGTTGTTCAGTCTCTCTCTGCACCCTCTCTGGCGCTCGGGCCCTCCGCAGCCCCCTCCTCTCCAGGGCTTCTCACCATAACGTTGCCCCCTCCTCTCCGGGGCTTCTCACAATGCTGTCCTCTCTCTGGGGCTCACCATACCTGCACTGGGGCTTCTCATCAACGCCCCCTCTCTGGGGCTGGGGCAGTGCACCCTGAATGCTGTGCCCTTGCTGGTACTGGGGTTCCCACACTGCTGTGGGTCCCCTATGAGGCCTCCTCCAACCCCTAATAGCCTCACCCAAACCACCAGTCTTAAACAGTAAACAAAATGCAAGCCCCTCAGCTATAACATAAACTGAAGCCGCCCAGCTATAACCACATTACTCCAAACACCCCAGGGATACTCTACCCTTTAGCCGGCTTAGGTTGTACCTGCGGTCAGGTCACTCTGCTCAGCTTTGCTCCAGGAGAGCTCATTCCCCCCTGGCTGCTGGTAGGAAACTGTTCTTGGCTTCAGCCCCTAGGGTTTATAAGGGAGCCAGGCCCTGCCCCTTTCAGTCAGCTGACCACCGGCAGGTGTGGGCACTAACTATTCTGGTTGCCCTGGTGATCAACAGCTGGGCTCCTTCTTTCCCTAGCAGTTTCCCCTCTTTAGGAGCAGGGCACCTAAGTGCTGTGCGACAGAAGGTATTAAACATTTCAGCCTTTTCTAGATTGTCCTTTGTTAGTTTTCCATTCAGTACAGGTTCTACACTTTCCTTGGTTTTATTCTTTCTTCAAATGTATTGAATATGAAATCAATTATAGGTTTGGAAGGGACTTAAAAGGTTAGCTAATTCAACCCTTGCACATATGCGGGAAGTGTCATTTCTAAGCAATCCCATGTAGGTGCATATCCAGCTTCTTCTTGAAAATGTCCAGTGAAGGAAATGTTGACATTTTTCCAGACAATTTGTTTCATTGTCCTACTTTTCTTAGAGCTTTTTTTAAAAGACTTAATCTAAATTTGCTTCATTTAAGTTTCAGTCTATTGCCTCAATTTGTCTTGGCTTTCCTTGACTGTTGAGCCTTTCCAAGTATTTTTTTTAAACAAGCAAATACATTTTTCAACTTCTTATGAGAATTTATAGTTGTAATTTTAACACATTTAAATCTTTTCAATAATGATGTGAGTTGTATATTGTCATTTTGTTATCTTATAGCATTCTTTTTTTTTCTTCTTCTTTTTCCACCATATTTCACTATCTTAATTTATGCTACAACTGGATATTTTATTATGAAAGATTTCAAACAATAAATCACATGTAGTTAGATAAAAGCATGGGAAAAAACTATTTATAGTGTCATAATTAAATTAGTATGGTTATAAATACAAAAAGCGATTGCGGAAGAATCATTGTTAAGGGGTCAGAAGTAGCCCTAAACTGCTCTCATTGTCATCTTCCACAGATTTATTTAAGTATCTCTATGTTTATTGAAGCATGTGCTATCAGTTTACGAGGTAATTGTGTCCAAAACAAAGTGTATGTAGTAACACATTCACAGCAATTATGTATCCAATCCCCACCCCCAACCCTCATCAATTTTTAATTCCATTAAAATCTTGGTCTAGAGAGATATTATAAAAATAGGAGGATATTTAACATAAAAGGAAAAGAAGTGTCCAGGCCCCCAGTCCTGGAAGAGCTTGTGCATATGCTTAACTTTCTTTTGAGTTCAGAAATAATTTTGATAGATTGAATTTTGTGGGGTACAAAACTAATGCAGAAAACCCTATAACAAATTCTGTGATAATTAATAATTTATTTTTGTAGCTTGTGTGGCTTGAGGCAAAGGGTCAGAATTTTACACTGATCTGTTCAAGTCGATGGCAAAACTCCTGTGGACTTCAGTGGGGCTGGGATTTCACTCTTGAAAATTAGCAATCCTGTGGTCTCTGGTTTTTTCAATACAAAATGCATATTTTTTTCTTTCAAAGTTGAGGCACAAAATTATAATTCAAGCAGTGATAGTTTTAGGCCCTAATCTAGCAAAGCACCTAAGAATGTATTTAAAATTTAGCATATATATTACACTGTCAGAATTTAGATCTATGATGACAGTCAGATTTTATTTGGTATCCTGGATGCTTTTGCATTGCAGGCAGATCTCACAGTTGAATGTGTTTATGTGACTTTGACAACTACAAATCCCAGGGAGCACTGCAGTTATACAACCTGTGCAACCATACTGTCATCATCTAAAGAACCAATGAAAGCAGGGGAATTCAGGAGTCTCATATGACATTTCACAGTATTAAAAAGCGTAGCACTCAGCCGCAGACCTGACTGTCAATAACACTTTTGCCAGTGTTACCTTTAAGCAAGTGTGTGAGATCTCTAGCGGAAGTTTCTATTTTACACTTGTTGAGTCTCAGCTGTTGAAGAAAACACTGCTTGCCTAGTCCAAATGGATGCGATTTTGAACTACAGACTAGAGGACATGGAAGATTATTACAGTTTGCTAGGATGTAGTGAACTATCAACGGTAAGACTGTCCTTTTGGCTGTTCGCCATGTCAATGATAATTTTGGGTTTTGTGTGTAGGGAGATTTTGAAATTAATTTTAATCTGGATAGATACAAATACTTAGAATGCAAAGTGTACCTCCTTTCTTCCCAAGCTATTTTACGTGTTAATACCTTTTCATCTGTTAATCTTAGCAACTGATTTGACCATACTAAGAACTGGGAACATAGCTCATATTAAAGATGCTCTAAAGTTAAAAATAGTGTTTTAGTTCATTAGGTTAGTTCAATATGTGATGTTAAAATACATTTTTAAAAACTTGTAAAGTGGTTATTGTCAACTGTCAAGTTATACAAGTATAATAATATTCTTAAAAACGTAGATATAGACCATGCAACTAACATAACAAATGTGAAAATGTTCTTATCTTCATCAATAAGTAGCAATGCACTTCCATTTCTAAGACAATTTTATATCACATTTTAGAAAAATATATCCATTGCTTGGGAGAAAAAAAAAGAGAAACCCTTTTTTTACAGCATGATACTGTGAATATTAAATATCTGCTTTCAAGACTTTTTTGGTAGCAGCTACGTGTCTGAACATGCTGTTGAATGATATGTTCCAAAACAAGGGTTCCACTACTTCCTAAAGGTATCTATATTAGAGTACTTAATAATTCAAATTCAGTGACAGGTTAAAATATTATCATCATCATTTATGCTGGTGAAAGAAGGATAGGGGCTAGGCATTTTTTTTCTTTCCAATATTTCTGCTATAATTAATCTGATAAATATGCATACATTATTTGTTTAGTAAATAAAATTACATGCTCTTGTCTCTATTAATAAAAAAAATTGGAGATTCTTGATGTACACCAAAATATATTTAAAACATTATTAGAAGAAATATAGAATTCTTAACCTGTTATAGAAAGCAATTTTAAATATTTTCTGCTGTGATTTCTTATAAAACATCCCAGAAGGGGGCAGTACTAAAGTTTGTTATTTTTGCATTTTTAGCAAGCAACAAGGATAAACAAAATAAATCTTTTTAAAAATCTTGGCAAGAAATGTATATTCTAAGCACATATTATACTCTGTGTTTTAAATTACTTTGAAGTGGAAAACAAAATGTAGTAATTGCGTGTTTGATTCCAAAAAGAAATCTGTAAAATATTATGCATAGAAGTAACAGATGTTCTTAAATTATTGTGCCTTGTGAGTATGAATTGCACATGTGAGATGATGGCTCTGCTGAGTATTGCAATTACTTTCTCATACGGAAAACACATTTCATATATTTTTAAAACACATTAGATTTTTTCAACATTTCTAATATATTTTACATATTTCAAAATTGTCACCTTTTATATACTTTAAATATTTTTAGCAGCATACATATCCAGGATCCCATTTTTACACATATGCAGAAACAAGCCTACTCATGCAGCTCCTAGTATGACACTTGATCCTGCAAGATGGTGGTTACTCTGGTCCTGATCAACCAAACATTTAAGCATTTGATTAACTTTGAGGATGAGAAGTCCCATTGACTTCAGTGGAAGTGAATGCTCTACTGGATTGGGATTAAAGTATTTAGCCTCCTGTAGGATTGAATCTATAAAAAGTAGAGAAATGGAAAGAAATTGCAGGCATGGTATAGGAGACCATTTTTGACAGAGCCTGTGGTGTCTGATACATTTGCAGGCTTGAGAAAGGGAGGGATAGTCCAATCTATAGCTTTCTACCAAAGGGGATATTTCTGCATAGTTATTGGATTCCTTTCTTGGTAAACATTTGGTACATTTTTTTTAATGATTTTTAATTAGTGGCTTTCATGGTATTCATGTGCATGTTATATGAACAGTTGAAAAATAATTCAATGGCATTTTTAAAATACAATCTGTTGATGTAAATAGCTTAATTTGAAAACCCTTTATATAAGTAGACTGTAGATATTCTTTGGTAACAAAAATATCTTTGTCGAGCACCAAGTTCCAGCAATCTGTCTGTAATAAATATATATTTAGGCTTCTTTACATGTGCATTCATATAAAGAAAAAATGAGGGCAACAATATAAAATGTAACATTTTTTAAAGTACCATTGTTATCTGTGTGGGTTTTTCAGGCATCTGGTATATCAAAGTCCCCACCCGGCTTCCTCACTTTTAAATTGCTGTGTGGGCTGCCCGGCTGAATGGCACACCTGGTATTTAAAGCCTGCAGGCCATGAACCAGTGTGGGGATAGCTTCCTTGGCCTTGATTCCAGGCCCCCGCCTACTCCCACCCCGGGGATTGCAATCCCCACCCTTGCTGCCCAGGTGGATAGCAGGGGCCACATGTAAAGCCCTGCTGGCCAGGAACTAGGCTTGTGGACATCTTCCCAAAGTCTTATTTCTGATCCCCTGGCTTTGCAAACCCATCCCTGCTGCTCAGCTGGGGCTCTGATATGAAAGTGGGCACAGGACTTGCAGTGCTGCTTTCTCCTAGTACCTAATGCAGAGTAGACTAAACAATACCACAATCTCTGTGCGCATTCTGCACACTGGGGACTCCAGTGTATGAGGAGCTGGTGGCTGCTCCTTCCCTTCCCTGCCTGTCTACAAGAGGGGAAGAACAGCCTACTCCAGACTGAGGTGATCCTGGTCTTTGAAAAGCATGGGTGTATTCCCCAAAGCTCAACTCCTCTTGGTCCCCAGGAGGACTTAAGCCATGGGGAAGTGTTCATCCATTCTGTTGGGAGAAACTCTCTTTCTCCCAGGAGCCTTTTTACCTGCTTGGAGTTGGGTTATTTTTCTCCTAGAACCACCATTTTTTATTCAGGAGAAAGTGTGTAAACACTTGCTCATTTGTTGTTTCTACTTGGAGAATAGTTATTCTCCCACTAATGCCATACTTGCATGTGGCCTCTGTGTGTGTGTGTGTGTGTGTGTGTGTGTG